AACTCTGGTGAACTCGCTCTCCCAAAGTATCGTTTGCGGTATCTATCGCACGCTGTCGAGGGTTCACGAAAGCAATATATGAGCCGTATCAAGACGCATAGAGCAGAAGTTAATTGCTGTGGTCAACAGTGTGTGGTATTGTATGTGGCGAACTTGACTTGGATGACAACTAGTGTACATACTAGGCTATGTTACAAGAAGGCGGCGCGAGCTTCGGCGTCGCATCGAGCATGTGCAGAGTGCGTTGGGACGGTGCCCGACTGGACGACTCATCGGCGCTTCTTGGTAGGAGTTGTTTGGTGGTCGGCCGTTGCTGGCTGCGTGACGGCGCTCATTTGGCGCACGTGCTTGGCGCAGTACTTGCCGTTGAGCTCAAAATTGCGGCGCGCCTTGTCGCTCTTCTTGCCTCGGCGCGTGTTGGGTTCGTCGCTCATGGTGGTGGGGGAGCTGAGGTGTGACGGGTAAACTGAAAATGAAACTCAAAGCAACGGAATGGGGTTGCCGAATCTCGGCTTTGGAATTCATTGTGCCACGTCGCTTTTGAGCCAATCAGACGGCGCGTTGCAGCATTTCAGCCAATCGAGCGACATTTCGGCCAATCAAATACGCGTATTGTTTTGCCTGGCCCAAGGACCTTCATTTGAGACGCCACGACCAGCACTGACCATTTTGATGCGCAAGTCCACCGACACTTGACTTCATTTCGGATTTGCCCCACGACACCACAAGCCACTTCACCATGAGCGACGAACCCAACACGCGCCGAGGCAAGAAGAGCGACAAGGCGCGCCGCAACTTTGAGCTCAACGGCAAGTACAGCGCCAAGCACGTGCGCCAGATGAGCGCCGTCACGCAGTCGTCCGACCAGCCAGCGACGCCGACGACGGCACCCGCAAAGAAGCGTCGGTGATCGTGCACTCGAGAAGGTCACAATCACGCCGTCCACAGCCATACAACAAACATCGCACGACGAGACGCGCGGGCAGATACAGCAGTGCGTCCGTACTGCCTCTTTTCCTCTTGCCGGCACGCCACGTGTGAGTGAGTGGTACACGATGGTTGCCCCCGAGATTCGAATTGCCAAGGCCACGACGCCAATTTCGTTGTTAAACTTCAACTTGCTAGAATCAACAATCACGTTGTTCTTCTTCCACGTTGAGCATTATTTTCTGACTTTGTGGCGACGCTTCGGCACGGCGACTGCAACTCCGTCGCTAACGTCGTGTACAAGGCATTGACCAAGCACAGTATATGTGGATGGACGGGCTTGGACCGTTGGTATGACGTGCATTTGGCTCCATGTTGAAACCGTCGCGGTTTAGGGCTCACCGCGCACAAACATAGCATCGCATACTGACAGCTTGCTAAACACGGCAAGTTGCAGCGCTGAAGACGTTGTCCTCAGCGTCATCAAATGTTGTCAATGGGCTGCCTTTAGTCAATGAACACTCCGAGTGTTTTGGCTATTGTCGAGACAGTCCTTGCTATCTGAGTGCCCTGCAAATTTGATATATTGTTTCTCTAAACCATTGACGTGAGATCCAGCTTCACAGGCCGACGCCCGCCATCCCAGATCGCTTGACAATCTTTCACTTTGAGATGCCATTACACCCGAGGTGTACTCCACCACCAAATGCAATAGTTCAGCAAAATAGTCATATTCAAACACAAAACGTCTTTTCCTAGCACTACCTTACGCCATGTTGTACGCCGGCAGCGTGTCCTTGGCGCCAAACGAGCACTGACCAACGTCGTACGATTTCGCCTGCGTCGCCATTTGCGCGAGCGAGCAGCAGCCGCAGAAGAACGAGTAGAGACAGTCTTCGGCCTGCGTGCCCGGGATCTGCAGCAACGTGCGGACTTTGGTGCGGATCTGGAAGAGGTACACGAACGCGACGACGTACAAGGCGAGCTGCACGATCGAGAAGAGCGACGAGACGCCGGCCAAGACGGAGCAGAGCATCATGCAGATCCAGAGACCGCCGTACGCCATGAGCACGCGTCTGTACGAGTACAAGCCGAGGCGGTGCGTGGTCTGCGCCAATGACACACACGGGCAGCAGGTCGCCATGAGGCAGTTGGGCACGAGCGCGTCAAAGCAGCTGAAGATGCCGGCTTCCCACTTGCCGAGCGTGAGGCCCGCGGCGTCGCTGTTGTAGCTGCCGGCTTGCGGCGCAGAGTCGTGCTGGGGCGTCGATTGCATGTCGGTAGCTGCTC